ATGAGAGACCCAGTTTCTATGTATCCTTGCAAGTATTTGCTATTGCCATTTTTTAAAAATAACAGCTTTATTGAAATACAATTTATGCAGTATAAAATTCACCCTTTTAAAGTGTACAATTCAGTGGTTTTTAGTACATTCACAGAGTCGTTCAAGCATTACTGCTGTTTAATATTAGAAGTTTCATCACTTCCAAAAAAAAATAAAAGCGACCTTTACCCATTAGCAGTCACTTTCCATCCCTTGTCCCCTCCAGCCCAGGGCAACCACTAATCCTTCTGTTCCTATGGATGTTTCTAGTCTGAATATTTTTTATAAATGGAATTATACAATACAGCCTTTTTGTCTGCCTTCTTTCACTTAGCATGATCTTTTCAAGGTTCATCCATAGCCTGTGTCAGTACTTCATTCCTCTTTAAGTCTGAATAACACTCTATTATGTGTTTATAACACATTTTGTTTATCAGTTCATCTGATGCTGGATACTTGGGTTGTTTCCACTTTTGGTAATTATGAATAATGCCAAACATTTGTGTACAAGTTTTAAGAAGATGTGTGCACAAATTTTTGTGTGGATGTGTTTCCTAGGTACGTACCTAGGAGTGGAATTGATGGGTCATATGGTACCTCTATGGTTAGCATTTTGAGGAACTTTTAAACTATTCTAAAGTCCTGTATCATTTGTGTATTTCTACCAGCAAGGCATGAAGGTTTCAGTTTCTCTATGCCCTTGCCAACATTTGCTGTTGTCTGTTTTTTAAAAAGTATAGATCTCCTAGTGGGTGTAAACTGATATTTCATTGTGGTTTTATTTGGCTACCCTAATGACTGATGATGTTGAGCAGTTTTTCATGTGCTTTTTGCTCATTTGTCTATCTTCTTGGAGAAATGTCAATTTAAATCTTTGGCACATTTAAAAATTGGGTTATATGTCTTTCTGTTGTTGATTTGTAAGTGTTATTTGTATATTCAGAATGCAAGTTCCTTATCAGAAATATTATTTGCAAATATTGTCTCCCATTCTATCAGCTCTTTTTCATTTTATTGATAGTGTACTTGGAAGCACTGAAGTTTTTAATTTTCATAGACTCAGATTTACCGATTTTTTCTTCTTTTGCCAGTGCTTTTGGTACTGTCTAAGAAACCATTGCTTAATCCATCATAAAGATTTATTCCTATGTTTTCTTATAAGGGTTTCAAGAGTTTTGCTGTTACATTTTGAGTTAATTTTTAATATATGGTGTGATGTAGGGGCCCAATTTCATTTTTTTTTAATGTGTATATCTAGTTGTTCCAGCACCATTTGTTGCAAAGGCTGTTCTTTCCTCATTGAATTTTCTTGGCAATCTTATAAGAAATCAATTGGTCGTAGATACAGTGAGTTTGTTTTTGGTTCTCAATTCTATTTAATTGAACTATATCTCTATCCTAATGCTGGTATCAGACTGTCTTGATTACTATAGCCTTGTAGTAAGTTTTGAAATCAGGAATTACAGGTATTCCAATTTTGTTCATTTTTTTCTAAGATTATTTTGGTTACTCTGGGTCCCTTGCAGTTCCATGTGAATATTAGGATCAACTTGTCAATGTCTGCAAAACAATAAAGCAACTGGGATTTTGATAAAATTATCTTAAATCTTTAGATCAATTAACAATATGAAGTCTTCCAATCCATAAATATTGGATAGCTTTCCATTTATTTCAGCATTTTGTCATATTTTCAATGATGTTTCATAGTTTTCAGTGTACAGATCTTGCATTTCTTTTGTTAAACTTATTCTTAAATATGTTACTGGTTTTGATGTTATTGTACATGAGATTTTTTTTTAAATTTAGTTTTTAATGGTGCATTGCTAGTGTATAGAAATACAAATGATTTATGAATATATGTACCCTGAACTTGTTTAATAGCTTTTGAATAGATTCCTTAGGATTTTCCATAAAAGATTATGCCAGGGAAGGCCTCACTGATAAGGTGGCATCTGAACAGAACATTTTAAGTGAGGGCAAGAAGGGAGTGAGAGCAGAAACCTTGAGTTGGGGCATGTTTGGTGGGTCTTCAAGGCACAGTGAGGAGACTGGTGTGGTTAGTGGTGAAGGCTTTGGATTTTATCATGGGGAAGATGGGAAACTGTGAGGTGGTTGAAAGCAGAGTAGGAGTATGGAATAATCCTCATAGCCTTGGCCCTACCTCTTTTTTCCAGCCACAATTGCTGCAACCATTTCCACCTTGAATTTCACAAGTGCTTCACTGCAGGCTTGTGCCACTGGTGTAGTCTCTTATCCTGGAAGCTCCTCTGAACCTGTAGTAAGAGACATCCCCTTAGACTCACACAGGTACAACAGGCTCTTGAAGTAATCCTTGATCATTGGGGGATAGACGCCAATGCTCCCCTTCTCTTCCCTCAGGTGCATGTCTCTGAGACATATTAATAATGCTCATGAAGAGGTCCCTTGGGGACAAAGCATCACTTGCTTAAGTTACACTTTCTTGTGCCAACCCCACCTCTTTCCTGTTGCAATGCCTGCCCTTCATTTCTGCTCCCTGCAACCACAGTCTCAAGTAAAATGTGCATGCAGAAGGCTTTGTCCCATGGGCCCTAGTCAGACATGAGGACTTTGCCCTCAGGGACCCTAGGCAGACATGCACAGGCTTTAGGAGAATCTCTCTGGCTCCTGGACAGATAATAGACTGGGGATGGGGGCGAAGAGCAAGAAGGAAGCAGAAAGAACATTTAGCCCTGATTCAGTTCACCAGGGAGAGCTGATAGCCGCTCAGCCTAGAGAAGGCTGTGAGACTACAGGGTATGGTTGGATTGGAGGCATTTTGGAGGTACAGCCAACAGAATTTGCTAATGGATTGTATGTAAAATGTCAGAGAGCCGAGTCAAGGGTGACTCCAAGTGACTGGCTGAGCTACAAGGGAATGGAATTGCTGTTGACATTGGTAGGAGCTGGATTGGGGAGCTTGGTTCCAGACAATTAAGCTTGAGAATCCCATTAGGCATTCAAATAAACATTCCTTATGTTACAAATATAGAATCAGAAACCAAAAAGGGTGAAAAATCACCTACTCAAGGTCATATCAGTAAAAAACAAAAATAAAAGCAATAAGTAAGAAAAAAAGGCAAAACAAAAACCCTTATCTATGTATGTACATTAGCATGTATCAATATATATTCTGAATGTCTCACTTCCTCTTTTACCTGACCTCAGTGTGTTCCCAGAAATTTTTCTGGGAGAAAAGTCTTCTAGAGCAAGCTGTGCTTGGATGTGAAATGGCCTTAGGACCAGGACGGCAGGGAAAAAGCAGCACTGAAAAGTTCTAGTGGGTGGTGATCTCAGCTGTCATTTCATGTCCTCCTGAACATTCTTTGATGATGTTACTCCTCAAAACAGCCGAGAGGCAGTGGTTCAGAATCCTCATTTCCACTTGAGGGTAAAGAAGGGAGGCTCAGAAAGGCTGAGTGATGTGAGTGAAGCTGTGTAATTAATAAAGTTGCTGCCTAAGTAAGGCTTTATACCCTGGTCCTCCCCAGTTCTGGTCATGCCACAGCCCCTCCCGCTTACATGAATGTTCTGAGGAGCCATAGCCACTTCCAGGGGGAGCTCTTCCCAGCCTGGCCCAGGAACTTTGGATCCTGGAGCCTCACTCTGGCTCCTCCACATGCTCTCTGAGAAGGATACGTGAGAGCCACTACAGAGCCCCTGGACTCAGAGCTGTGTTCCTGAGAGGGACACTGTCCACAGACATTTCTAAACTGGGATCCTTGTCTAATGTCTAATGTCTTGACAGAAACTTGCAGCTGATATGGCAAAAGATTCCTTCATTGCTGTGGCATTAACTGAACAAGTGAGTTGTTCACTGGCCCAAGGCTAAGTTTAGCTGTCAGGTGCATGAAAGCTGTGAAGAGAAGATAATGCATTTTCCTCTCCAGGGAGAAGAGAAAACACGTTCTCCTCTTTCATCTGTATCAAAGTTATCAACCTAACTGTTGTCTGAGCTTAGAAAACTGAACTTAAACGTCAATGAACATTTATTCTCTTTTATATTTTTAATAAAATGATGTATTTTTGTTTTTTTCTTTAGAATGTTAGGAGTCTTTGTTTTGTACCTGGCATATTTGAATTTTCTGTCCTATGTGCATTATGAAATGTTTTTATTACATGAATGAAAAGTTATGATCATACGTAGGTTTAATTCTACCAGTAATGTACACATAGTGTTGGCAAATGGTCAACAGCAGGCGTAAGGATGAATTGTTTGATTAGCCAATAAGAACTGAGGCACTGGGACCATCCTGGAAAATATTTGAGAATGAGACTTGGCTTCACAGGTCTGGTAAAATCTTAAGGAGAGGCAGTAGAGGAAACTATATGAAATAAAAAAAAAATGGAGGAGAAAAGTCATTTTAACCATTTTGCTATTCAAAGCATTAGGAACTAGTTCACACCTGATACCTCCACCCAACATAGGGGATAAATGCCAGGCTTTTTTCAATTTATCTTTTTCTGTTCAGTGAAGATGTACAAGTTGACACAGAAAGCCTTGAGGGTTTCTTAAACAGCAAAATAGCTCATCCCCAAGCAGAGCTATGTGACTGGGTTCCAACAGCAGTATCTTTCCGTGATGTAGGGGTTGACTTTTTGCCTCGTTAGTAAAATAAGATAATCAGTAGTTATTGCTGACAGAACTCATGGAGAGGTGGAAAGACATATGGATACTTTTGTAAATGTCTTAGAACAATACAAGCTTCTGGCATGAATATTGTTCATTTCCAAAGGTGAGGTGAAAGCCATGCTAGTTTGGTAAGCAGTACCTGGTCGGGGCTTACGTTGGCCAGCCAGACCATTTCCTTCTCTCTCATCCACGTTCCTCATCATCCATGTTATCCTTTTATTTAGAGGTCTTGCTGGGCATTTTCTCATAACAGGTTAGATACATATTATAACTAGGTATTGCTAACTTTGATCAATGTTTATTGTTTTCTATTTTGCAGTCCATCACCCTTCCCACCTCAGCACCATGTCATAAAAAGGGAGAAGTATTGCTTACATGGAGGACTTAACGTGTGCTGACTTAGCACCTCTGTGGCTGATCTTCCTCTGCCTACTCTTTATATGTTGGTTCTAAGACGCCATCATTGACTGACTTCTCTTCTTACATTAATCTCTTTCCCTGCATGATCACATCTACTCTTGTAGCTTCTGTTGATGACTTCCAAATTTGCAACTATCGAACACACACTTATTAAAAATCTTCTAAGAGGCTAGATGCTGAGATCTCAAAGGTGAGTAAGACAGTATCTCTCTAGCTGCCAGTGTGCACTCTAGACATCATCTCTCCTTGTGTGTTCAATGGGTGCACCAGAGTCAGCTTGTCCAAAACAAGCTCATCATCCTCATCCTCTGAACATGTTTTCCTCTACTACCCACCAGTTAACCAACTAGAAGAAATCCTTCATTTCTCCCCCTAAAGCCTATAACCAATTTGGTATTTTTTTTCTAAAAATCTCTTGGAAGCACACAGCAATGATTATGACTTTAGAGTGAGAATTGTCTGAGTCTGAATCTTGGTTCTACAAATTTACTCTCCATGTGATTCTGTGTCAGTTTCCTCATCTGAAGATGGGAATAATAATGGTGCCTGCCACAAAGTGACTGTTGTGAAGTTTGGAAGACTTAACCCATATAGAGGTCTTAGAACAATGCCAAGTACACAGAAAACACTCGATAACAATTATAAACATGATTATACTTATATAATTTTTGTAAATTATAATAATTTTACAATAATGCATAAAATTATAAATGTATATGTTTATAATATATAGGTATATTATAAATTTATAAAGTATATTGGTATGTATATGGAATCTTGACATTCATACCATAATTTTGTTTATAATATATGGAATTATAAACACTATCATAACAATTATTTTAATGCATCCTCTCTCGTCACCACCACTGTCTTAGTTTGGGCCATCCTCATCTCTCACCTGGATTATTGCAATCGCCTCCTGAATGTCTTCCCTGTCACCAGGCTTCCTGCTTCCTATCCATTTCTCACACTACCATCAGAATTATTTTTTTCATCAAAATTTAACCATTTTACTTCTCTCCTTACATCTTTAGGAGATTCAGAATACAGCCTAAAGTTTTATTGTGATCTAAGAGACTCTTAGGCCCTGCCTTTTACTCATTTTTCCATTTTCCCTTGCTACTTCCTGTGCTCAGCTGTAACTGTTTCACATCTTCCCCGCTCTCCTCCCTTACCCCCAGCCCACCTGGTAACCTTCAACTCCTTCTTGCAGACTCTTCTCAGGTGTTACATTTTCTAAGGTCCTTCCATGACCCTCTGGGTTGGGGTTAGAAATGTTTCTGTCATGTCTGTGCTTGGGGCTCACCTCTGTCAAAGGTCTCATCATATAATATGGAGAGTTTGTCCCAGAATCTATTTTAATGATAAATGGGAATAGGTTTAATACTGTGACCTGTCAATCATATTGCCCTTGACTTTAATGAAGTGCCCACATTAATTTTTTTAATGGAGGATTTGTCATAGGTCTGTTTCTCCATGAGATGTTAGTGCCTCAAGAGGAGAGACCACTGTCCTTGTGTCCCTAGCATCTAATGCAATGACTGGCATGTACTGGGCACTCAATACCAGTTTGCCCAATGGCCTGTCACCCCATATGCCACTGGAAGACCACAGTGTGGGGGTCATGGTTCCTTAGATTGCACCACAGTAACCGTGTTGCCTACTTTGTCCCTTTCACAAGTAACCTGCCTGTCTTTTCAGATCCGCAGGTGCAGAAAGTGGCCAGGAGAGCTCCAGAAGAACCAGGGAGTTTGGGACATATGTAGTGGACAGTCTTAACAATAATGAAGGCACAGATTCCTCTACTGAGCCCTTCCCAAGTTCCAGGCATGGTGCTTTATGTACATTCTCATGTATGATGGCAGTAATCCTATGGTGTGAGCACTATTGTTATGCACATTTTATATTTGGGGGAACAGAGGACTGAAATCACACTTTTCCTGGTTGGCAGAGTTGGAGTTTGGATGCAGGGCTTGCCTGCAGAAAAGCTTATGCTCTTGATCCAAACTCTGTGCAAGACCCCCCGCCCGTCTGTCCTCCATGGGCACCTCCAGCCTATCTAAGATAGGTCTGTGTAGGAGGCTTAGAGAGGCCCCCACAGGGGTGTCTGGGGCCCAGCAGAGTGCCAGTTGGGAATGAGGTACATGTTGGAAAAGCCATGCAACTTAGTAAACAGTGCTTCTGTCTTGTTAAGTGACCTGTGCAAAGAACGTATATGCACCCATTGCTAAAGCTGTGGAATGGTGGAGGCAAGGTCGGAAGGTTGAGACTGGCTAAAATGTGGGTGGAAGTGAGCAGGGTAGACAGGGTCCAAATAAGCTGTGGAGGGTCTGACCGGCGGCGCTCTGATGCTTTGAGTGAGTGATCTGTGTCCTTGCTGCCCTCTCTGCCCCTGCCTCTTTTTTCCCTCCCTTCAAGCGGGGGCCTGTCCCTGTGCTCATTAACTTGGGGGGTAGGGAGGGGGGCATGTGTCAAGACAGAAAGCAAAAATCCTGGCTTTTGTTTTCAAAGACTAAGCCATGAAGTGGCGAGAGGTTCAGGGCATGGATCATGTATCTTGGTCAGAAACATGGAGGGAGAAAGATTTCTTCCTTCCAGAAGACAGTCCTACCTGACTGGAATGTATGAGAGCAGAGGGGTCTGAATCCTTTAGGAGTAAGGCCCTGTGCCTCTCTTCCTGGCAATGTGCTGAGAAAGGAATGCCTGTATGATTTTTCAGGTAGACCTAGCAAAAGATTCCAGGTCTCAGGAGCAGCCCAGCCTGACCTTAGCTGCACAGGGACACAGCTAGTACCAGAACTATGACGCCAAAGTGGGTAGAAAAGGAGGAAGAGATACCCCAACTTCTCTTTCCACCCTCCATGTCTTGCTAATAGGTTCCACTGAACAAACTCAACTAGAAGCCAGGCTGCAGGGAGGATACTGGGTGAAATAGTACATAGAACCCAGCCTCTCCAAACTTGGAACAGAGGAGAGAATGGATTTAGAGGTGGGGGCAAATGGAGAATAGTTATAAATCCAGATTTCCTCCTGCACCAAAGGGAAGCAGACATTGAGCCCTCTCTCTTAGGGTGGAGATTTTCTAGTCTTCCTTCCTGTCATGGGGATTCTTTCCCACTCACCAATGGATGCATCCATTGTTAATGGCCAAGGTGTTAAAATCCATACATTTAAATTTCATTTCTTTGAGCCCTCTAAATTTTCTTTGGAGGTCAAAGGCTATTAGCATCCTTTTCAGTTTTTTTTTCTTCATCTCACATGTAGTCAAAGAAGAATTACTTAGAGATTTCTTGGGGGTATCTAGATTAAGATTTGAACTTCCCTGTTTGATAGAAATTTAAGAATTGTGTGGGACAGAGCCTCCTGGGCTCTGGTCTCTCCTGTTTATGGAATTTTGCTTCCAATTCCTGAACTTCATACTGGTGTGAATTATGAAAAGCACAGAAGCTGGAGGGAAAATGGCATTGAGGGAAATGTTCTTATTTTCAAAATTTATTTTTGAAAAAAATACCTGTTTTATTGAAAAGATAATGCATGTAATTTACACAAATGGTATCATACTTACATATTGTTCAAGAACTTGGTTTTTAAAACTTAATGGTTTTTTTGAGATTTATTCTTGTTGATTGATAAATGCACATCAATTTATTCATTTTAACTGCTATAGAGTATTCTAGGGAATGAATTAAACAGTCCATATCAACAGGACCTTTGTAATAGATAAATTAAGTTTTGTTAGCTTTTCACAACAATAAGCAATGCTGCGGTGAACCTCCTATACCTGGCTCCCTGGGTAGGTATGGTAAGTTCAGTGGATGATGGGTTCGAATGGGCAGCTAGGGACATTTTTCAGTAGAGTGGGCAGCTAGAAATGTAAACTTCTGTTTGCGAACTTGGTAACATTGTTAAGCATCTGCTATGGATGGGGCACTATCCTAGGAAGAGGGAAACACTGAGGTGAGTAAAGGAAACACAGGGCTTGCCCTTAATGAGTGGACACTGTTGAAGGGAATACTAACACAAAATCAATGGAATCCAGCGTAAGTTTTGATCCTATCTACTGTAAGTATGACTATGGGAAGAGTGAGGAAAATGTGACTAACTGCTAGGGAAAATCTGGGAAAACCCCAGAAGAAGTAACTACCAGGCCTGAGACATGGAAGCTTATGGGAAGGAGGTAGGTATAGCAGAGGTTCTGCAGGCAGCGACAACAGCATGGATAATCATGGGTACATGAAAATGAAAGACATGTCCAGGGAGGTAAATCCAGGGAATAGAAATTAAATAAAAAGAATCTTAGGAATGCTGTGGTTTTGTAGCCCATCAACCTTTCCTGTGGTCTAGGAATCACAGGAACCATCGAAACCACAGCCACCACTAAAACTCACTATCAAAGTTGTGCCAGTTCATTCTTAGACCCATCTGTTTCGTGAGAGTGGCAAAGTGGCTCCCAAATGCCGAAAGAGCTGAGAAACAAAGGATAAGGCAGAGAAATCTAGCTTGTTACTAAAGGGTCATTTATTTGGGGAACTTATGGATGGAAGTTCATGAGCAGCAAGACAAGTAGACCCTGGTGCTGTTACTCCCCAAACCCAGGGCTTATATGCTGTAGGGAAAGGAGGATGTGCTCTCTTAGGGACAATTAAAGGTGACCCTTCAGAACAGGCAAGAATGCTGTGTGCATCATAGACTATGATTCGTGCCATAACATCAAGGTTGACATGTTCTTATACTAAGGACAGTAAATAAGGTAGGGATCAGGAGGCATGCATGGGACTGGGGCTAATGAGAAGCCAACATAATGAATCAGCATCCAAGATGGAGTCACTTTTGTCTCCATATCATTATACATGCCATTGTTTTAAAAAATTTCTTATCGAGGTCTAATTTGTTGCCTTCTATGGTTTAAATATATCCATTAGGTTTCTATCATAAGATGGGTTAAAAAGAGCAGTGCTTAAATAAGAAAGAATAAGATTTCTGCCTCTTGCATTTGCCTGAATTGCACCCTTTTTTTGTGCAGTTATTGTCACAGTGTGTTATGTACTAGTAATAAGTGTAATTGATTGCTTTTATTACACCTATCAAATGAGGCTCTTAAGGCTCATTACTATCCAGCCTTCCTTACATTATTCTTGCCTTTCCTGGTGCTCAGGTAAATTTGTGAGTAGTTCTCTTCATTCACATAGAGTTAAAATTAAATGCCAAGAATCAAAAGCTGATTGATTCAGAATGTATTTATCAATAAATGCATTTTTAAGACTGGAGATAGACTTAGGTTTTCCAACTTGGTTCCGTTCTCCCCGTCACTTTCAGGTACACCAATCAAATGTGGATTTGGTCTTTTCACATAGCCCCGTATTTCTTCGAGGCTTTGTTTGTTTCTTTTCACTCTTTTTTCTCTAATCTTGTCTTCTCACTCTATTTCATTGAGCTGATCTTCAATCTCCGATATCCTTTCTCCTGCTTGATGGATTTAGCTGTTGATACTTGTGTATGCTTCACGAAGTTCTTGTGTTTTTCAGCTCCATGAGGTCATTTATGTTCTTCTCTAAACTGGTTATTCTAGTTAGCAATTCATCTAACCTTTTTTCAAGGTTCTTAGCTTCCTTGCATTGAGTTAGAACATGCTCCTTTAGCTCAGAGGAGTTTGTTATTACCCAACTTCTGAAGCCTACTTCTGTCAATTCATCAAACTCATTCGCCATCCAGTTTTGTTCCCTTGCTGGCAAGGAGTTGTGATCCTTTGGAGAAGAGGTGTTTCAGTTTTTGGAGTTTTCAGCCTTTTTGTGCTGTCTTCTCCCTATCTTCATGGATTTATCTACCGTTGGTCTTTGATGTTGGTGACCTTCAGATGGGGTCTCTGAGTGGACGTCCTTTTTGTTGATGTTGCTACTATTCCTTTCTGTTTGTTAGTTTTCCTTCTAACAGTCAGGTCCCTAACTCTTCTGCAGGTCTGCTGGAGTTTGCTGGAGGTCCACTCCAGACCCTGTTTGCCTGGGTGTCACCAGCGGAGGCTGCAGAACAGCAAAGATTGCTGCCTGTTCCTTCCTCTGGAAGCTTTGTCATGGAAGGGCACCCACCAGATGCCAGCCAGAGCTCTCCTGTATGAGGTGTCTGTCGGCCCCTACTGGGAGATATTTCCTAGTGAGGATACGCGGGGATCAGGGACTCGCTTGAGGAGGCAGCCTGTCCCTAATCAGAGCTTGAACACTGTGTTGGGAGATCTGTTGCTCTCTTAAGAGCTGTCAGGCAGGGACATTTAAGTCTGCTGAAGCTGCGCCCACAGCTTCCCCTTCCCCCAGGTGCTCTGTCCCAGGGAGATGGCGGTTTTATCTATAATTTCCTGACTGGGGCTGCTGCCTTCTTTTCAGAGATGCCCTGCCTAGAGAGGCAGTCTGGCTGCAGCAGCCTTGCTGAGCTGCAGTGGGCTCCGCCCAGTTAGAACTTCCTGGTGACTTTGTTTACACTGTGAGGGTAAAACCACCTACTCCCCACACCAAGCTTGAGCATCCCAGGTTGACCTCAGACTGCTGTGCTAGCAGCGAGAATTTCAAGCCAGTGGATCTTAACTTGCTGGGCTCCATGGGGGTGGGTCCCACCGAGCCAGGGACCAGAGAGAATTTCCTGGTCTGCTGGTTGCAAAGACCATGAGAAAAGCGCAGTATCTGGGCCAGAGTGTACTGTTCTTCCTGGTGGAGTCTCTCAAGGCTTCCCTTGGCTAGGAACAGGAAATTCCCTGACCCCTTGCACTTCCCGGGTGAGGCGACACCCCATCCTGCTTCAGTTCGCCTTCCGTGGGCTGCATTCACTGTCGAACCAGTCCCATTGAGATGAACCGTGTACCTGAGCTTCTGTGTCGATCTCACTGGGTGCTGCAGATGGGAGCTGCTCCTATTCAGTCGTCTTGCCAGCAAGTCCCTGGGATTCACTTGGCTTTTACTCAAAAACAGGATGGCAGAAATTGTTGCCACCCCTCAGTATCTATTATTCCTTTCTGTCTGTTAGTATTACAACTCCCTCTATGGGTTTTAGTAGTGTTCCAGTACAACCCATGTAATTAGGTGGAAGTATTGTGTACAACTTCTGGGACATGCCTTTCTCTTGCCTTTGGCAGCTGGAATGAACCCCGATAGAAGTGGAAGCCTGTGTGGAGGATGGCTGAGCTGTACCACCAGCTTTGATACCTGAGAGTACTCATGGAGCAGAGCTGCCTACAGCTCTGGACTGTCCACCTACTTCTAGTCTGTTATAAAAATAAATGTCTGTCATATTTGACCCACTGAATTTTAAAGTCTTTTCATTTGTAGCTTAACCTAGACTCTAACTAAAATTTCTAACTAAAAACATATCAAATATATTTTTTAAGGATATAGATGAATATGGCAGGATGGCAGGTCAGCAGACTTTATTTTGTGGGAACTTCTAGCACAGTTTTTTCTCTAATCTGAATACCTTTCTCTAATGTAAATCTCTAATGAGAGATTTACTCTCATTTCCCCACAATCCATACTAAGTCTTATTTTCTTAGATCTACAGAATTCACACATTTATCTTATCCTTCTGGCTTCTGTGGACATTTCAGCTTGTTTCTGGGAACAATACAAACCAATTTTTTGCAAGTTGGAAACTCTCATTTATTATCCCCATATGATAATCAGTAGAATTTCTTAGCATCCTGTAGCCCAGACATGATGACTTAGGTCAGATCATGTCACTTATGACATTCACTGGACCCTGAGAATAACTGACTGAGAATGAAGTGCTGCTGGCACTATCTTGATACTGGTTAACCATGCCGGATCTAGCTTGCTTATGTTCCTGAGGAAAGCAGATAAGAAAACAAATTTAGTGGGGTTCATGGGGGGATGAAGATAAAAAGTGTCACAGCCCAGGAAGCAGAAGAGCCTTGGGATTTTCCCCTGGACATGACAGGGACACTGCTTAATGAAGCCTGAGAACTCAGATATTTCAGTTCCTTAAACCGGCATCCAGTGAAATTTAAAAAGTCAATTTTACAACTGAAAAGGAAGTGGATTTTTCTTCAAAGTTTCCATTTATCTTGACTTTTGTCACAGTGTTTTAGGAGGAAGAACTGTGGATGTGAGGAAAAGTTTAGATTGGGGCCTTTGGAAACTTTGGACAGAGTGGCTAGCAGGGCCCAGGAGGTCTAATGGGTTATGATAGGAAATTACACACAAAGGGGAGTGGGGGCAGAGTGGGGAATCTCAGATTTATCTGGACCTGGTAATAGAAACCATGAAGTTTGGAAACTAAAAGTCAAAGCAAGTATGAGTTGATTCAGGATGTAAAATCACCTAAAGCAGAGTTCAGCAAAATTGAAGCCTCTAGTAAGCCGCTGTGGAAATCTGACTAAGAAAGTGGCAACAGGCATCAAAACATCAGTATGACAAAGAAAAGCTGTGAGGGACATCTGCCTGGCTTAACGGAGGCTCAAATCCTGCAGAGTGGCCCACCCAGGCCGGAGTGGATGAGAAATGGGCTGTAGGTTTAAAATAGTCTAGAACGGCACATCTCAAAATTTCCTCCAGAATCACCAGGGATGTTTGTTCAACATACAGGTTTTGGGGCCCTCACTTAAAATGGATTAATTGCAATATCCTGGGGCCAAAGCCAGGAACTGCATTTTTAATAAGTCCCCTAGGTAATTTGAGAGTCAATAATACTCAAGATGAGGTTGCCCAGAGAGCACCAATCTGCTCTGAAGCTCTAGGATGTTGTGAACATTTGCAAGTCGTCTATGTATTGGGAACACAATGATGAATATGACATTACTGTGGGGGACCAGAAAAATAAATGAAGACTTTCAATACAATAGTAGAGATAGGTAGAAGATGCTATGGGGCCTTGGCTAAGGATGATGGGGAAAGCTTCGCAGAGCAGGTAATGTTTGACCAGGGTATTAAAGATAAAGTGGAATTTTCCAAAGAAAGAAGAGCCATTCCCAGCATGTATTGGGTGGAGATGGAAGTGCATGGAAACTGAAAGGCAGTGGCTGGGGCAGTGAGCCCAGCCTAGGGAAGCCAGATCTTGAAGATGGTTTCAAGAGTGATGTGTGGAAGAATGGATGCATTCTTACTGTCTCGGGAAATGTGAAGAGGAAGCACCTGGGTCAGTCTTTGGAGGCTTGCAGGGTGTCTGATAGAGGAGGTCCTCTGTGCTCCTGCTAGTTTCTACCCTGTGAAGAGGGTATGATAGCGAGCAAGTTGTCAGTCCGCTGGGGGAGACAGAAAGGAAACAAATATACAGAATTTTTAGAAAGTGGTTAGTGCTGTGAGGAGAAGAAAGCAGTGATTTCTCTTTTTGGGAATACAGTCAGCTAGATTATTTGGACAAGCCCTCCTGCTGAAAACAAAAGCTTCCTGAAAGTATGGAAGGGCTGACAAGATAGTGAAACCAAGGGGAAACAGGAACTGGGAGAGGCAAATAGAGCAGTGGAACTTCTCATCTTGCAAACCTGAACTTCAGGAGGCAAGCCAAGGTTGGAGCTCAAGCCTACCCAGGTGGAGGTGCTGAGAGGAGGCCCTCAGGGTGGGATGGACCCAGCCTGCCTGTGGCTAAGATTCCCAGAGCTGCCTGCTGCCTGTCCTTCCCGAGGCTCTCTTTTTATTCAGGTCTTCCTTCTGGCTATCCAGTCTTCTGCTAGTAAAAATATTTCTCTATTTTTCAAGTTTCTCACTATCAGTTTCCTTGCTTTCAACCAAAGATCCCCAATCAGCATATTCTTTTTCATATTTTCTCTTTTAATTTTGAAGTCATTTCAAACCTACAGAAATCTTGCAAGAAGCATATGGAGAACATTTCCCCCTTGAATCATTTGTAAGTTGCAGACCTGATACCATGACTTTGGAATATTTTAGCATATATTTGCTATGTACTAGAACATTCTTCCACATAGACATAATACAACCATCAAAATCAAGAAATCAATATTGATTCATTAATATCATCGTATCTTCAAACCTATGGAAGTTTCACCAATTATCCTAACAGCATCCTTCATAGCAAATAATCCAGCCCAAGATCATGTTTTGTGTTAATTGTCATGTCTCTTTCATCTCCTTCAGTCCAGGACAATTTCTAGTCTTTCTTGGCTATCATGACCTTGACACTCTGGAAGATTATAGGACAATTTTAAAATTATGTAAATATCTTGTTTCTCATCAAATTTGTATTCATCAGTTTCAGCAACAATATGTTTCTTGGCTCAACTATTACTATGATAATTATCATATAATGATTTTCTAATCCTATCAGTATTTCTACAGTTATCAGTTGGCATTATATTGTTGTAAGAAATAGCTTTCTCATTCATTCATTCATTCATTCATTTATCAGCATCCTCTTATATTCAATGAATTGTAATCTACTGATATTACTTATTTATTTTGGTGCTCCACACAGTTCCAGATTTGGCCAGTGGGCGCTCTTTCAATCTGGCTCCTGTATCCCTTTGACACATACCCATTATTCTTTGAGTTCTTCCTTACTTTCTGACATAATTTAATTTTCCAGACCCATCCTGTTCTTTCCCTGGCCCCCTGGCCCAGCCCCGGAATCAGACATCTCTTCAAGTAGCACTGGTTCCTTTTAATGGGAATGGTATTTGGAAACCAAGATGTGCACACTGGGCCTGCCCATTACTGCGCGTGCACACACACACACACACACACACACATCTATATTTGTTCCTATATCTCTCCATACCAAGATCCATCCATTTATACTAATACTTCCAATTCCAATCCAACACCACATTTGTAACCACGTTATTTAACAAGAAACTTGGCTCCATTTATCCATAATATATTTCGTTGTTGGATCAACCAACCTGGTATGTACTCCATCTCCTGTAGACATCATTTTCTCCCACCCTTGCCCCATGCAGATGTGGTCCTGACCTTTTTCCTGCTCTAAACTCCAACTCTGGGCTGCCACTGACCCCCTTCACCACGTGGGCCCCCACCTTACTCAGCTCAGGCTCCAGTGCTCCTCATCAAACCACCTCAGGACCCCCAACCCGTTCATCTTCCTCCTCAATGGAGGAGCCCCATTCATCCCATTTAGGCTCCAACACCTGCTGTTGGCTATGGCCGCACCCTGCCCTCCACACAGATGCTTCAGATGTCTGCCTTCCTTGGCCCACATGATGGCTTTTGGATTGGAGTGTCTGGAAAGGCAGTCAGGAAAAGCAGGAAGATAGAAAGGCAAGCAGGAAGCTGATATGTTCTTATTGGGGATAATTAGAAAAAGAGTAAACCGAGGAATATAAAAAGTTGGTAAAAGGAGACAGCAGAGAAGGGGTGGAAGTTAATTTAGTGAAGCCTTGGAATAAGTCAAGGAAAATGGACACAGACCTTGGAATTGCACAGGAGACATCGAGGAGAGATAGGGGTGAGCTGTGTGTAAAAGGAAGGGAGATGGGGCAGTAGATGCTTTGATATGAGGTTATGATGGATGAAGTTAATGTACATTGTTGAAGAGGGAATTTAGAGATATCCAACAAGTAGGCTGAATAGAGGTTATTTAAAACTTTTTTTCTTATAAAATAGCCAAGTTATTCTGGGCCCTTGGGAAAATGGCAATTTCCCAGAAGCAGGATTTAGGAACTCTGAGTCATAAGGCCCATTATTGTGCAAATTTCTACAACAAAGAAAAATGAATTTATAAACATCCTATTGAAACTCTAGGAAAAATAAGCAGGAAAGTTTTTAGCGAGTGAGGAATAGTACATGGAAATTAGTAACGCAGGCTCACTGTTATTAATTGAAGGTATGTAAAATGTCATTGAGTTCTTTTTCTTTTTTTTTTTTTTTTTTTTGCCTTTATGTCTCCAGTGTCAGTCCCTAAGTTTTAAGCTATTTCTTTAAGGTGTCACTCCCTAATAGTTCTAAGAAATGTGATCTATGCAAAATGGCTGGCTCCAGAAATTCCTATAATACAGCAAGAGCCTATGAGAACATCTAATAGAAATATGACTGGTGAATAATTTGCTCTTCTTTCACAGAAGTTAACATTTTTTAAGAATTAATTTCATCACTCACATTTTAATATTTGTTTCTATTTAAATATTTGACATTACATTTATACATAATGGGATTTCTAACAGCTTAATTTTATGCCATTTTCCTGTGTCATTAAAGGAGAGAAATGCTATTGAAACAAAAAAGAAAAGAAAAGAAACATTTTAGCTGCTTAACTATGCCCAGAAACTGGTTATGAATCAAGATGGCATATTCCTAATTAGCAGCT